CTAATATATTTATAAATAAGATGTAGCCCAAAAAGTAGCCAATGCGCCGAATGATATTTTTTACGCCAAACTAAAAAAGGGTAGCCAAATTTGGCGCAAAGTAGCCAAATCATGCAACGCTGAAAGGAATACTAAATAAAGCCAGAGTTGGACTCAAAGGATTTAGACCCAAATGCGGGGAAAAGAGAGGATAAAGAAGTGAGGAAGAGTCCGTATTTGCTTAATTTAACAGAAAGTCTATTTAACCTTTCTCACTACTTTTTATCTTTTGGCATTACTTTTCTTTCCCCGAATTTGGGTCTATAATCCTTTGAGTCTCAACTTTAGCTTTATTTAGTATTCCTTCCCCGTTCACACATTTCCAAGTATTTGAAAATATTTCCTTTCCACTTAAAAATAAAATATGTATGAAGGTTTGTGAAACTTGTTTTTTTTTAATTTATGCCGTTGAAATAAACAAATAAAATAAAAAAATTTGTCGGGTTTGTTTACACGTTTATTAAGCCGCGGGTTGGACACCCCTGCCGTAGACGATCGCGAACGATCGGAATTGACGTATAATTGATGAACAGAGTATACAGAGTTTAAAGAAAAGATATGTCGGAAGAATGACACGGATCTTGACTAAACAAGTATCAAAAGAAAAGAAAAAGAACATAAACCCATCACCTTTTGTTTTACGGGAACAAGTAATCCCAACTGAAATTAAGGAAATTCTCCAAAAAGGCCCTAACTTCGTTCAGGAAGACGAAAACATATGGCAAACGTCAATGGCGGAACTGGAGAGAGGAATCTCAGAATTCAATGATTTAGAAAAAGATTTTTTCAGGTGGAAGACTGTTCTTAAAGATCACACCGGCGGAACAAAATATAATGAAATGAAGCAGCCGAAACGCACAAAGTAACGGTTGAACGACAATGATTTGATCCTAACACGAGCTGACAAAGTAAGCACTTAATTATCATGGAAAGAAAAAAACTACAACAAATCCTTAGAAGAATACATTAAAAGAACGAAATGTGAGCGGGTCAATGAAAATATTGTTACAAACGTAGACAGAAGGGTAAAACAACTTGAAAGAACTCCATTAAGCTCCATATTAACTTTTCTTAAAGGATCTCATAACCCGAAGACAGGGATGCCGAGATTATTTGCATTTGCAAAAATACATAAGGAAAGCAAAAAGATCAGACCTGTAATTGAGAAATTCAGAGGACCCACATACATTCTGAAAAACGTTTACATAGATTCATTTCGGATGAACTAGGCAGCGATGTTCTCGTTGCACAAAACCCGACGAATGTAGTAAAAGAATTATAGGAATTAAGTGTACTTGGTGAAAAAGTTGGGTCATTTATGGATTTTGAGAACCTATATCCATCCATAAAAACAAAATCCTGTTATGAAGCTTTAATGGAATTTATGCTAACCATTAAAACCAGAAGTTGGTGCATTTGAGAACAATATGATGGAATTAGCCAATTGGTATGTTATGAGTTCTCCTTCAGTTTCGATAAACAAGCATATAAACAAAAGAAAAAAAGTCCGTTTTCAGGATTACTATATGAACTAGTTCTACGCAACTTGAAGAAACACATTATTAATGGGTTCAGAATGGATATTGTATTTTACAAAAGATATGTGGGCTATATGTGCATTATTTGGAAAAACGGCAAGAGAATAGACGAATTCGTACAAGTAATCAACAACAGCAACAGCGATGGATTAAAACTTAAACTAGAACAAAAAAGTCACATTTTCTGGATATAGACATCCGATTGAAAGGGGATTGTATAACAACGGGTATTTACATAAAACCAACGCATTCCGGCTAACTGGAACGACTCGTACGGATACAAATTGTCCGCTTTTCGTGCATTCAGAAGAGCGTATTCATATTGCTGTAATGTACTAGACAGGATGAAGGAGATTAATAGAGTCAAAGAAATAGCTTCAAACTTTGGATATAAAAAGAGTACAATAGAAGGACTAATTAAAAGTTATGAAGGAAGCAGAAAACTAAGAATCCAAACAAATCAGTTTAAAATCGCCAAGTTCACTTATAGTAAAAACACCAAGGACATCGCGAAGCGAGTGTCGGACAAAAAAGACTCCAAAATAGTTTACAAAAGAGCTCCTAATTTGTATGCTATTCTCAGAAATGATAAAGACATGCTTAAGAAAGAAGAAAAAGCGGGCGTATACAGAATTTCATTTGAAAATCAGCAATTAGGAATTAAGAAGGACTATATTGGAGTCACAAGAAGGAATTTAGCTATTAGACTTAAGGAACACAAGTATGGCATTAATAAATGGCACTGCAAAACGGTTTTGTCAAGTATGGCACGAGCAGAGGACTCTGTAGTTAAATGGAGCGAAGCGACTATCCCGAAGACCACGCGTCCCCCATCATCAGCTTTGCACGAAGCAAAAATTGAAATCTATAAAAGTAAATTAAAGGCTAGTTGAATTAATGCCAGGGATGCGGATGGATTAGCTTCTGCATGGAAATTCTACATAAAAGAAAAATTTACTACCTGCCCTTACGGTTTGATGCATTTTTATGTATTTATTTTAAATCCAATTTAAAGATTCTTGATCTAGCAAAAAAATGGGCCCCCATTTGACTTCAATAAGCCCTAGGCCCGAAAGACTTAGATCCTCCCCTGACTGTATGTAAAACTTGGAAAATGAAAAAGCACGCGACCTTAACGAAATCTACGGTAATCCGCACTAAAAGCGCACGGTTGTACCAAGTTGGGTGTTTTTCTTATTTATCTCTCCGGTCCCAGGACACCGAGACAATCTTTTACCCGTGGCGGATTCGGCCGGGACCGGGCCAGGGTCCCACCGTCCGCACGATGTAAGATTTTGGCGCATCTAGCGGGACAAAAGCCATAAAAATAACACAATATATTCACTTATAATCTTCGTCTTTAGAAGGTGTGCGGCCCGCTCGTATCAATAGTCGCCGTTCGAAAACCAGTTTCGACCTTATTAGTCGAAGAGAGCGTTGGAGTGGCCACCGTCGCTTTCTAATCTTCGTTGGTGAAAATTAAATGTTTCGTACGTATTTGTTGGTATTATCTCGAAACCTTCACGTCCGGGTGTGTAGTTTAAATCTGTAAATGGTTTCTCCAACCGTCAGATTCGTAACAAAATACTACTTTTCTATATTGGCAGGTTAATAGAAAATTAATTACGATTAACGATGGTAACGGACTGGCAAAAATTTTGTACGGCTTTCTACACGGAGTTTTTCTACTTTTTATAATCTTAAAGATCTATGGACCCCGTACAATGAGAGTTCGAATGCAATAAAATGCGTTTTTTGCAAAATAACGTAGCTTTTACCCGAGCCGTCACCAAGGCGTCAAGGCAAGAACTATACCAAGTGTCGAAAAATGATATTAACGGACGATAATTTTCCTTTACGCCCGAAAGCGCCTCGTAAAGTACCGGTGGATTATTCACTATTCACCCCAAGACGACTGTATAATCGGTAAAGGGTCATCCGAAGTTAAATCGCATTCATTAGTAGATTTAAGCACAAAAAGACTTTAGATGTACAAAATTAAGTATTACGTTGCATTTTTAATGTTATAAAGAAGAAGGCGCCGGACAAGCAAAAAGCAAACGAAAACAAACTTGAAGATGAGAACGTTCTAACAACTTCCTTGTTACCATTGCAGATATACGGTTTTAACGAAACCAACCAAAAACTATTTTACAACAAACTGTCTTTTTTATGTTTTAAGGCTTAATCTAATTATTATAAATAAATTTTGACTCGGATTAAATTGTTCCATTCTTAATATGATTTTGTCCCGCTAGATTGGCGCTGCGCGTAGGCCGTTTTAAAAATGGCGTAAAGTGGACGCGGTCTTAAAATTTACGTACGAAATATGCTTTTTATTACGAAAATAAGCGCTTAATATTCGACGACCTCGGCCTTTAGTTCTGTCCGTTAAAATTACGTTCCTTTACCCCATCCGGTGGAAAGTTTGCCCCAAAACGTTGGTCATTTTTCCGAAAAAGACCGTTTTTTATTTTCGGTCCGTTTCCGTCCAACTTTCCGAAAATGAATTTCCCGCCAATAATTTATTAGTTTACTTAAAAACTGCCGGACCTTTCCCTTCGGTACGCTTTCGACTTAGGCGAAAATATTATTTTCGGCATAAATTAATTTTAATAAATTGAAAACCGTACCGGATTTTGACGCCAATTTTAATCCCGAGGGATTATTTCGGTCCATATTACCAGAACGTTTTTCTACGGACGAGAATTTGCCGATATTCGAACCCGGCCGTCGAAATAATCGATTAATCGATTGGAACGGGCGTTGGTCCCGCCTCGATTAGTAAAGCTTATCTTTATAGTAAACGATGCGCCCGCTAGCCTCGGGCCGTTTGCCGCCCGAGCGGCCCTTAACTACGGTTTCTGGTCCGCAATTCTTAAGAATCGTCGACTTTCCGCCGGCAAAAATAAATTATCTCCGCCGATTTATGTTTAGAAAAATAAATAATAAACTATAATTAATTTATTTTAATATATCCGTGCTTTCGATTAGACAGGATACTTGGATACGGACGAATAACCACGATTCGCATTTTGCGTCGACAAAGTATTTTTTTAAAAATTAATTCTCCGGCGAAATTATTTTAAAATTACTTTTTGGCCTGACGGATTATTTAAATATTTTTTAAAACTTTTATTTTTTCCGTCGTAACAAAGTTTAAAACAGAAAATCCTGGCTTAACCGCCAGTTACGTCACGGCCGGGTGAAAAACGACGGAGAAATTGTTAAATTGGATTTAAAAAATAAAAAATAAAATCGAATTCCGGGTAAACCAACGTAATAGGCGGGATTCTAAAGGGCAAAAATTAATATATTGTAATTAATAAGTAAGATTTTAAAAAAACGTGTAATAATAAATAATATATTTTAATGGTTAAGCGAAATAAAATAAATAAAGGCAATAAAAAACGGAGTTATTGCGCCGAAATATTTGAGATTCCGTAAATAACTGGTCAAATTTTGTTTTGTATTTTTTAATTGTAAAATAAAATAATGTAATTTTTGAGTTTTGCGCGGAGAAGCGAGTTTAGAAAAAGCAAGAAGGGGAAAAAAGAGGGGAATTTTGATTGATCGAGCGAGAAAAATGTTTTTTGTTCCCGACAAAATCGGTGCAAAGTTAAAGAGAAAAAGTCGTTTTAGACCAGTTTGAGAAACGAGAGTAGAAGACGAGAAGGAAGAAGGTTCGAGTTCTCGGTTGGAGGTCAAGTCGGACATCTTTGAATACGGTTCAAGGTAAGGAGAAGAAACGAGTGATTGGAGGAATTTGAATCTGTTACGTCTCGTGCTCTTATAAACCCAACACTTATGAGTGTCTGTTTCCCGTAAGTTATGAATGATTGATTGAATCCAGTTTATCTCGTTGTATCGCTGACAGTTTGCAGACAAAAGTCGCCCATTTTCCCGTCGTTCGCCCTTAAAATACTTTTTCACTACGTTCCAATACTTAACAAAAGATATGCAATTTTCTCTCGACTTTGCCCGTATAACCAGCCCTTTACGTCTTTAACTAATTATTATTTTAACCTGTATTTTTCGTCCTCTTCCAGATAAAGATCGACAAACCTTAATTGCTCGCTGCCTTTATTATTATTTTCCATTCCCGGAGATTCTTTATTCCCCAAATATATATTTATTCCCATTTTATTGTAATTGGCCGCTGCCCGGCAGCGCTTTAAATATTATATTCAAAATCTCGTTAAAATTCATATTTAATATTCATAAATTACCATACGCGCTTTACGCGTGTATAAAGTTAGTTTGGCCGAAGAAAATGTAAATACTGGAATAAATATTTTACCCAGTATTTGTTTATTTAAAAATGTGTATCGGAAGTTGTTGTTTTATTTCCGAGTATTTATTGTTATCCGCCTGTCGTAAAATGAAAATTGTAAAATTCCTCCCCTCCCGGTTTTAATAGGTTGGCGTAATGCCAAAAGATTTCATTCATAATTTGACATTCATTTTGTTTATTCGTGTCGACTTGTTAAATTTATTAATGTTACGTTCTCAAATATCTAACGTTATCTAAAGGTTAAGTTCGTTGTTGCGAAAAGATTTATTATTCTGGATTAGATTTTATGATAGATATTTAATCAGATCGACAGAGAGAAAAAGAATGATTAAATGCTGAATACATAAATATATCTTATCTTTAATTTGCTCTGACTTCTTCTTTCCCTTACGATTATTTTAAAATGATGGGATTAAATGGATATTTAGTGGAAATGTGAATAAAATTGACGCCGGACCGTTACCGATTTCTTCCGCCTCTTCCGATACTCCGTAAAACAAAAATAAATGTAAAGTTTTGCAAAAGAAAGATGTAATTGGAAGTTAGATATTGCATTTTGATATAAATCTAACGAACTGCCGGTCGTTTGTTGTCTTTTCGAAATGTCGTTTTTATCTCTTTGCGTTTTGAAACTTCTACCGTTTACTTAGAATAATTGTTTGTTCTTGTACCGAGGTCCGGTCGTTTGTTTTTTTTCTCTTTACGAAGCCGCTTAAATATGCTGCCGGCCGAGTAAAGTGCAACGCCGTTTAGGACTCTGGACGTGGCGGGTGTTGCGTTTTGCTCGGCCGGCGGCGTACGCAAAAACTAATCGTTCGAGAGATCTCGACTTGTTTTGTGCTCCGCCGCCGATCTCGGCGCCGTTCGGAAGTCTTTGCTTCGAAATAAATGCTTCGAAAAAACGATTTTCTCCGATTAAACGAATTTTAAACGATTAAAAGAAATTTATTTCTTTGCGTTACCGGCCCTCTTGTGAGAAATGTCTTTTTTTGCATTTTATAATGGTCTACGTCCGGTCGATCGTGTTAACTTATAAATTATCTATAAATGTTTCTTGTATTTGCGTTAGCTAAAATCGAAACGATAGAAACAACGTTCCCAATTTACCAAATTGTACATTTTGGTAGTATGCGTGTGGTGCCCGTAGACCCTGTAATTTCAAATGGTGTGCAAAGGATAAATATATGCGACCGTACGTTGTCGTATGCACGAGTATTAATTATACAGATAATGCCCACAAAAAAAAATGTTATTAAATAAATAGGTTTGTGTTAAAAAATATATATAGAATATGATACGATATCAAATAACGAATTGGTTTCGTGAAATATAAAAGTAAAATTGTATGAGATAATTTATTGTGTTTACAATCTTTGATTTAGGAAATTGTCTCCTAATATTATGGTTTATGTTGTGTAATAGATCTTGAAAATGAATAAAACTTGGCATCGTATTGAATCCAAAAAAATAATTAAACTCTTGCATTTAATCTTTTGATTACATGACCGATCAGTTAAAACTTTTGCTAAAATCATACTTTGTATCAGAAACTGAATTTTTATTGACATTTCAATGTAACTGCATTAAAATGTGTGTATATATGAAGCATGCAATGCCATTTTTCTAAATAAATTTTATTGAAGAATTGAATTCTAAATGCAATGTTTACTGCCACAAAAGAATATTGTGGCAATATTGGCAGTGTAAGTGGCTGTATTTTGAAGATGAATTTAAGTGAAAATATATCATTTAAAGTGCCAGAGTGCAAGTCACGTGACTTTTGGCACGTAAAACGTTGTGGCTTATATTTACATAATTTTGATATTCCAGAGAATTTGTAACCCAGTGAGTTTACCATTTCATTGTAAAATTGAAATTAATTCATTTATTAGAAAAAATAATTTTTTACCTCTCCTGAAAAGTTTCTTTTTTGACATTTACAACATTATGGCATTGCACGCTTCATATATAATTTTTTTTTATTTTTTACAAATGAATTTAGTTTTTTTGAAGATCAAAATATAAAAAGAATTTTAAGATTTACAAATATAACAAAATATTGAATTAGATTTGAAATATATTTTAATTGAATAATAATGAAATAAATTTGGATTTTTCAGGAATTACCAATAAAATATTTGAATGTTCTTACATTTTGTTTTCTTCTCTTTGGCTTTGTTCATATTTTATAGCAGTTTTCTGATTTTTGCATTTCTCCATAGCAAATCTTTATCCTTTAATGAGATTTACGATTTCCGCTTTTAATTTTCTGATGTTTAAAGGCATTATTCTGTTGAATTAGGTATAAGAGTGAAATTAGTTAACATAATTATATAACATACCAATTGCTTTAATTTTTCCAGTTATCGTCTGTAATAAACAAATGTTTCAGTTACTGAATATTAGTAATCATCAGGTTTTGAATTTTTAGTGTTTAACTGGTTTGGTGTACTGGTCTGATTTTAGATAATATTTACCAATTCTTAAGGCTTTAATATTTGAATGTAGATTCTAGGATGTTGATTAAAGGGTTAAAATTGCATGATATAGAATATATTTGAATTAAAAAAGAGATAAAATGATAATTGTTCTCAGCCAAAATTATAAAAGCAATAAAAAATAAAACCACTGTCTTTTTGACATTATACTACTATAATTCATACAAAATAGATAAATAAACTGTAAAAACTCAATTCATTTTATATATATAATGAGTTTTCTATACACCTAGAAAGTCAGGGATTTTCATTTGGAAAAAGTCATGGAAATTTGTCTAAGATTTTCAAAAAGTCAGGGAATTTGTCTGCTTGGTTGCTTTGCTGATTTAATTTCTTGACAATATGGTTAAGTAAGTGTAGCCATCTGCAGGCAACAAGAAGTAATATAGTGCAATGCAACTTATGAGCAAGGATGCAGAATATTTTCAGGACCCAATATTATAGCAGACAAAATAAAAACATAACAACATAAAAGGACACTTTAAGCATGTTTTTAATCTAAAATGTCATCATTATAGGATAGCATATACAATTATAAACTTGATGTAATATATTGATTAACAGAAGTAAAATTGATGTCAATACCATGAATTATTATTTTTAATTTTAGCACAAGCAGTAATTAACAGACTTTTTGACATCCAAAAATACAAAATTTATTTATAACAATGACATTAGAACAAACTTTTATAATGCTCAAAAATTTCAAAGATGAACATCAAGTAATGAACACCAAAAAAACACTTTAAAAAGGAAAATTTCAGATTTAGCAAGATAATTTTCATATTGAAATTATTTTTCCAGCATGGCCATTTTGTCTAACTTCTAAAGCACTCCTTTACACTATTTAAGTTAAATTATTTTAAAAAATTAATGAGAAAAATTATGCATTTGAAATTTAAATAATTTTATTAAAACACATTTTTTTGAAATTACTTGAAATTTTAAAACAACTCAAGCTGGACCTGGGCCCTGTTAATTAATACTGGCTTCCTTATGTGCTTAGCTTGTTAATGGTTTACCGGGTAAAATGCTGGTAGTTTATCACAGGTTTGCATCTCAACAATGGGCTGGGTCACATGGAGTTTTTCTGGGTTTTCTTCACATATCTAATGCATAAACAGGATCAATAGTGTAGATTCCTATAGAAAGTCCAGCAGGACTTTCTATAGGAATCTATAATCCCTTGGCAGATTACAGATTATTCAAGTGTTGCATTGCCTTCTCCCATCAATCTATTTATCATGAGATGTTTAACTGCTTTCCTTATCTGATATCATTGAATGATGTCAGATAAGGAAAGAATATATCAACTGCAAACACTGAACATTTTTGCACAGTATGTAGTGCTGAACAGTAGAAATTTTCATATAAAAGTATATGAGATAATTTGCATAGCAGATTTCTCAATAATGTGTCTCTGTAGATCTGCTAATATGTTGACAGGAATCCTCAAGTTTATAGAAAAAGAAACATATTGTACAAATTAAAATAAATGTTTCTTTTAGCTCCACATCACATATATCTTTACATGATCTGGTTAATAGTCTTATGTATATTAAAGGTCTAACTACTGGTGCAATGGGATAGAAACAAAACAATCCACAATAGATCCCTTGAATGATGAAGGATTACATAGGATTAATTATGAAGGATCTTACTTGTTATCATCATTCCAGGGATCTATTGTAAAATGTTAATTGTAATATTTACCTTTATTAAAACACACATTAAAGCTTAAATTAAAAACATATAAAATCATTTAAATTAAATGAAAATATTCAAAACAAAACATTACTTTAAGAAACACTTATTAATATTTATATGTATATATTTTAATTAAATTTTACTGTAGGGAGTTGCAAAAAGGTCTTTTATTAAAGGGGTCTACTGGAAGATTAACTTGAGAAACACTGCATTGATACATGTGCTTGGGGTATTTT